AAGTCAATAAAATTAAAAATCTATAAATGTACTCCATATACCTGAGTTCCACAAAAGTTCAGGTGCTCAGAATCCATAAGAACACACACCTCTCAATTTGGGCATTTCTGTACTTATTACAGAAACAGTCTGTCACAATTTGCTTCAAAATTAAGAAGACTCTGGTGTTGTCCACTTACACAATTTCCACTTTTTTAGTCAATATTTTTGCAGTTTTATTCAAATCAGAAAAAAAGAAAAAAAAAAGAGATCTCCAAAATTTGTACCGCATGGCTCCTGTATATGTTGCCTGAACCATCATTGGAACTTGGCAACTTATCATTAGCTAGGAGTCAGCTCTTCAAATAATCCTGACTCTAACTTCTTAGAGAGATTTCAGAGCCAAGACCACTCAAAACAGCCACTAAAATTGGCATGAAAACACATTGCCTTTTCTCTAATCTTGTTTAAAATATATGGAACAAGAGAACAAAAAAATTATATACATCTACTTGAAGCAACATTGATTTCTTTTTTTTAAAAAATCTATTTGAATGTCATCTTCAATCACATTTTATAACCAACCATGCTGCTTACCCTTCTGAACCACTTCCAAATTCCTTAGGGTTTGCTAACTATTAACCGAAACAGGAGACCAGTTCCGCCTGGAGCAAAGATGGCTTAGGGTAATTCTGAGTAGCTTTGCAATGTCAAAGAGAAGACAAAGCACAGCTCTTCATGGAGGTGGATCCTCAGAAGGATGAGAGAAAGGAACCAGTGGCAGTCAGGCACTGGAACTAGCAGTCACGGGCAGCTGTGTAAACTCTGCCTTTCAACCCCAGTTGAGCAAAAACCTGTTCAGAATTCAGTCTTCACCCTGTTTTGAGCGGCAGGTTGGGCTAGATGACCTACATGACCTCCTGGGTACACTCATACACCAAGTTAAGAAGGTAATTTAAGCAATGCTGTAAGTCATCAGTGGCTGTCTAATACAAATGCCTTCTTTCCTCTCCTCTGATAAGGCAGTTTATACCTAGCACTGAAATGGCTCAGGGAAAGTTATTCCTGTTCTATTCACGTGTTTTGTTTGGCCATTATGCAGGTTACAGATTACAGTTTTAAAAGGTATCATTTTAAAAAGGTATGATTTAAAAGATCTGAGCTGTCATGGTCTCTATAAGCTGTGATCACAAAAAGGTACTTCAACATTTCTTTCTATACTCATATCCCTTATCTCGCTCTTTCTTAAACTGATGAATCCCAGATGTTTGACTTCACTTTCCTTAAGAATTTTTATTTTTTTAAGAGGTCCTCCTTATATTCTTTCAGCCTGCTGGCTTTCTTTGATGACTAGGGTATTACACTTGAAGGCTTTGTTCTTCCTCTGTTTCAGCATGCTCCAGGTATTTAAGTGGCTCTTCAGATAGAATTTGAAAAACTACAAGCCATTTTCAACCTCACAGATTCTATTATATTAATTGATACATTAATTTTATCCCCTCCCCCCCAAGAGTTAGAACAGAGCCACACTAGTGAACTTAAGTTTTTGCTCCCATCATTCATTCCTGCAGGAAGAAACAAAATTGGGAAAAACAGTACTATTGTATGCTGACTAATACTTCTTGCTGTGAAAGGAAAAGAAGCTACCGGTGTCCTCAGGAAACTCAGAAAGATTAGAAATTGATGTTGTGGAGAAGCGATGCAGAAAACTATGCTTAGAGCATGAAGAAAAAGCAGTATCGAAAAAGATTCCTTTTGCCACTTCTTCGGAAGTCACTCGGTAAGATCACAAAATCTTATTCTGTAGTTCATAAATATTCTTGTACTCCCTCATGGTGTAGGAGCAGATATCACAAGTAGACAAGTTTTATCTGTTACTACTGTCTAAGGAAAGGACTGTGAAAATACAGATACAGAAGTGAGCAACAGGGTATCAATATTATATGTAGTTCCAAACTCAAATCTCTGCAGGAATCTGTTGAGTATATACATGGAAGTTTGTGCTTTGATTTATCCTGTGCCAAGAACAGGATTCTAAAATTCTGTTAAAGAATCCAAGGCTATAGTTACAGTACCCACTGAAGGGAACAAGTTCTGCTGGGATAGCAGAAGAAGGTATCCTACTATTGCTCCACACTGCCAAAACTAGGCTGTTTCACAATACGGAGATAAGGCGCATTCATATGCTACGGCTAGCTCAAAAACCACACTTGGTCTTACACACTCCCGTAGCATGGCTTCTAAAAGATTCTAATTCTTTATTTAATTTCCACTTAATGTGGAAAGAGATCAGAAAACTCAAGCAGAAATAATGAACCAATTACAACTACTGGAAGTACCTAAAATTTCAAGAAATACCTTATACTAGTATAGGGGTTGAGAGTGTTGCTCCCTTAACTCCTGGGATTCTTTATGTTTACAGAAGTGGGAGTTAGATCAGGGTTTGAAAAGAAGGTGTTTTGAGGGTGAAATAGCAATCAAATTTATCAACTGTATCAAATTGCTTAAGAGTCTATTTCCACTATTGGTTGTCATCTAATAGGTACAGTTACAGATGTTATAAAAATCTGTTGTAACCACTATTAAGCCTGATGCCAAGCTAAATTCTAACCCCTCTTTGTCACTGAAGATTTCCTTGAATAATTTCCACTGGACAACTCCAGCAAAGTAAGAGGAGAAGCCTTGTGCCTCTACAAATCACAAGCTCTAAGGAAAAGAGATGAGCCTCGGTTTGATGAAGAACCCATGCCAGGGGCTCCAGCCACATCGATTTCACACATCCTATAGCCTCGCTCAAGACACTAACAACACTGTTCTGGTAGTAGATTGCCACGAGATATAAAATAATAAAGTTATTTTAATAATTAGTCACTGTTGTTGACTCTTCGTCCCTTCTCTGCTGATAGGAGACCATTCTGCATTAAGGCATCATAACAAACCAGAACATTCCTGTTGCAGTACTTGTTCAAATGCCTTGCCATGCACAGGGACAGATGAGCTTCACAGTGCTTTCAGATGAACTGCCAACTGGCTCTGCTTGCTGAGTGAATTATTCACATAGACACAGCAAATTTTGGGTCCCTGGGGATACTGCAGTGTTTCTCACTCAAACAGATACTACCTGAACTTCTTATGTCTGCTATAATTTGCAAAGCCACCCTAGTCTGAGGTTTTAGCTGACCACATAGTATTTTTTCTTTAGTTATCATGACAGGCAAGCTGGCATGTAGATTTTAATGCAAATATCAGTATGAAGCCAATATTTAATTATTAAGCATACGTACATTTAAATCTTATTGGAAGGCAGCAGATGATGTCCATTTTCAGATACCACTTTTACGAAGTAAAAAAACCCCAAACCCTCCAGATATCAACTGACCATGGGACACTCTCTTTAACAGCTTCTACAAGTTCCACCCATTATTGTTTGTTGTAGGAAAGTGTAATGTCATTTTCATGAAGAGGGAGCTATGTCTCTGCAGATCCCTCAGACTGTCTTTACTTCTTCCTTAACAGAAGTTGAGAAAAAGAAAAGTAAGGGCCTCACAGGCATTCTCTTTCATACTATTAAGATCACAGAGCCACACTCTTATGCCAGGCAACTAGCTGGATGAAGGAGAGAAATTAATTAGATTATTTATTTGTTTAGTACAGTAGGCTTTTGTTTGATATTTTAACTTCAGTGTGTGTAAGAGAAATGCCAGATGGCACCAGATCCATATTTGAGAAATATCATTTTGGCACACGTATTAAAGAACAGTGATTGAAAGGTGGCCACAGGGAAGGCTAAACATGGATACCAGCAGAACTGTAATGCCCCCAGCACTTTTACTCACATATTAGAACCAGTAACATTACCTGAGGAAGTGTTTGATTACCAGCAATTGCCTTCTGTGCAAAACACAGACTACAGAATACCTATAACAGAAAACCAGATCATTTCAGATCCTCAACATTAGCAAGCCCTTGTGCTTCACTGCTCATGCTAAACTCTCTGTTTTGGAGAAGTCTGCATACTGGTTCAGTAACACCTTAAGAGATCCTGCAGTCTGCTTAGAGGACGTAGGACTTTCACTGTATAAGTTAGCAGAGGAGATAAGATGGTGTCCTACCCAGTTCTTCTGGAAAGCTGCAGGAAGATGTCGACCTTCCAGAAAATACATAGATGACATAACCTAAAAAGTCCAGCTTTAAGAATTTACTAGAATTCAGTGATCAGAGATGCCATATCCAAAGCAGATGCATTAAGTCAGAGCTTCACATGAGCCAAGGCTGGCCAGATCCACTTTGTCAACCTACTAGCAGGAAATCTTGTGCCTCAGCTAGGCAGGCTTTCTGGAGGTGTGTGTCTGAACATGACCAGAAGATGCTCCTGAGACAGTCATCAGAAGTGTAAGAAGCCACATGAAATACATAATGAAGCGAATGCTGTCACTTTTGTCTCTAATAAATACACCATCATTTAAATACATGAGGTCTTTTACTGACGTGTATAACCATGAGAAGGTGTTCTAATTCTCTATTCTTTTCCCCACTTGTGGTAGGAGAACTGTTGTGCTGTTGTTCGACTCACCCTTCACAAAGCAATGCTTTTAGCAGCTCTTTTAGGTACTGATCCATGCTCTCTCATTTCAGATGCTAGCTCCATTTATGAAATATAACTTATCTCCATTCTTTTTAGACCACGCCAGATAAACTACCAAAGCTTAATATTTCTTTTTTTGACTCTGAAAAGCAAGTCCCAGTAGAAACTGAATGACTCTTTTAAGAGACAATGTGCTTCCCCAGTATCTTTCCACCACACACCGGCTAACAATTATGGTTAACTCAACAGTTAGACCATTCCAGGACTATCTGGCTAAACATCCCTCAGAGTATGAATTCAAGCAAACAACAAATTTTTAATGTCAGAAGAACTTGGACAACTCCACCTACCAGGTAAACTTGTCATTTCTGAAGCTTAGCAAACTCACCACCTCATCAAACACTGACACTCTGCAGAAGCTCTATCTGGGGATGAAGGAAAAGGCTCTGCTGGCACACAAGGACTTGTGGTAAGGTACCATTATTCCCCCCCCAGTTCTCATATTTGGATTAGTAACTGCACTGCAGCTTCTGCATAGCTGTGCTTCAGGATCGTGTTTCAGGATGTAATTAGCCTTACAAAAAAATGAAGGGAAAATGTTTCAGTCATTTTATTTTCCATGCATAAAGCTACAACTTAAGGTGAAATCATTGTTGTAAATGGACAAAAGAAAAATTTCCACGCTAAAACTTCAACAAGAACGTTTGACACTAGTAGATGATAGCCTTTAAGGGCTGGGGTGGATTAAGAAAATGTGAGTTGAAGAAAAAAGTTCTAATTTTAATAAATGTTTTTATGTTAAGGTTATGCTTGCCAAAGTGCATTCTCTGTAAAATAATAAATCTGTGTTAAAATCATGCCATCTGGAAACTAAATTTCTAAATACATAATCCTGAACTCAATAAAATACACATTTTTGGTGTCATTTGAAAACATTCCATGCTCCTGTTCCTTATGCAACTGTAAGTACTGAATTTCCAGCTGTGCCTTGTCAGCCCACGGACCGAACATATTGTGCTGCTTTTCTTTTCCCTTAAGTGAGCTTTTTAGTTCTCCGAGTAACAGTATTAGCTGATTCTCTGCACACAGAACACAGCAGCGCTTTGTCCCCAGGGAAAGAAGCTATTTCAGACTTAACTAAGGAATCAGCTAACATGTTTCAACAACCTCTACTGTTTCTCTGTTTGTTTTAAAGATATCACTGTGATTCTGTTTCATTTGCAACTGGAGACTAAATGACACCAAGCAGAATCTGCTGTTAGGTTAGATTACAAGGTAAAATGTTTTACATTTTAAATTACTGCTTAAAGCATGGGGTTGAATGGCTTAAACTACGTGTTAACTTTGCAAATATGTATGAAATAATCCTAGCTATATTTGGCAATACTGAACATAAGCGCTTTTCTAGATAAAGTATGCAATAGCAGTTGATCTGCTTTTTGTTTGGTATGAATGTTTGCCATGCACTTCAAGCTTAAACTAACTGAAAGTGCAAATAGTTTTGCTGGTATGCCTAAATCTAACTCATTTCTATGCAACAGATGTAAGGAAGAGCACATGAAAAATCCTGGTAAATCACTTTAACCCCTGTGTATCATGAGAAATAATTGTGACATCTTAGAAACAGGAATTTAGAATGTGTTTGAATTTAGACTGAACAGATAAATACGGATTATTTAATAAATTCTGATACTCTGGCATTTCTAAAGGATCACTACTTTAAAAATTAACTATTTCCATTAACAAAACAGCAAAGTGAGATATACTAAACTTATTGAAGATAAACATTTGAAAGCTAAAAGCTACTGGACACATTGCATGATTAAAGTAAATGTAATAAAGATGCTTACATGTACTATTCATGATCTAAACATTTATGGGTAAAATTAAGAAGTATAGCAATGCTGAAAGTATCTGGCAATACAAAAATATAATAATTCGATTATATGAGGTATCTATAATTTTATGTGGATATGTAATCGTTTATTACAAAAGTTGTGCAAGTTGAATAGGTTGAAACTTCCCCCATTTAAAAGTTGGCTGGCACTATGCTAAATATAACTTCCTGACAGATAGTCTGCAGATTCCACTCACAGGCAGGAAAGGCCTAATGCATTTAAGGCCTTTTTCTGGTATGACATTCACAATTAGGGCCTTAAAATGTGACAGCATTTATTAAATAAGCCAAGGAAAGAAACATAGCTCAGTATTTTTTATGTGAGGAACACCATTCGGTTGAAAGTAGCAGTATTAAGCTTTCAATACTGAAGAGTTAACTTGGTGTGAAAATATATCATATAAACTCGCATGTGTGAACAAGATTACTTTATAAAGACATATTTGGGGGGTGTGTATGTGGTTTATGTTTGATTTTTTTTTTAATTGTAATTATAAAGTATTTAAGTAAAACAAGTTTCACTTTAAAACAATTTGATTTACTATAGAGTTTTACTCAATATTGCAGTTAGCAGCAAACCCCTGAGTAAATTTAATGTAACTCACCCTATATTATTCCTGGCTTTCAAAAATACATGCATAGAGAATGGAAAAGTATTTCAGTCATGCCATTATATGCCTCTGCCCACAAAAAGAAATGGTTAACTCTTAGAAAAGCCCCAGTGTAATGTGGCAGCATTCTAACTCCATAGCCATGGTGTTGTTACAAGGATGTGACTACATTTAAGATGTCACTAACTCCACAGAACAAATACACACATTCAAGACTTTTCTTTGTATATTCAGTTTTTCCCCAAGGGCTCTTCGTGTGCTTCATTCAAACCGAAGTTCACTCTGTAATTTTATAGCCAGTCATTACCATGCAAGGAAGTTAGAAAACAAAAACATTAGGTCATTTGTCCTGCAAGATGAGGTGCTAGAAAAGGAGCATCACTGCAGAGTACAAGCTTCTGCCTCTGTTTGATATGTTAACTAACAGTAATTTCTGTCAATAAAAGGTCAGTATAAACTCTATAGAGCATTTTGTAATAACTGATTTTAAACGGGTAGAAAGCAGTAAACTAAAGTCTGGATTTATTTCAGAACCCTTCTATTACATGAGCTGTTACATCAATTTGTGTAAGATGCATCTCAAATTCCTTTTTTATGGAAATAAAAACATTAACTTAGCTTAACAAAGTTGTGCAAATTAATATATATATTTGCTATAATATTTAAAAAATTAAAATAGCTGAACATAGAAACTACAACATTAGAAAGAAGTAAAAGCATACTGTTTCAATCTGATCCACTGCCAATTTCCCAATTAAAAGGGTGAGAATAAAGAATAGGAGAAAGCACGTGGAAAGCATGAAAAACATGCAATCAATCACGTGCTTTATGTTAAAGAAAAGTTAGGCAACTTGTACCAAAAACTTGACCCATTTTAAAAATCAGAAAGCACCAAGACACACAAACTTTAAAAAAAAAAAAAAAATCTGATTTGGGCACTCACAGTTCTAGTTCCTGAAATATTATGATACTGTATTTATATAAAGTAATTAACTATGATAAGACTAACTCCAAAGTGAAAGACTATATATAAAGCCAGACTGATGAACATTATGAAAAAAACATTTTTAATCCCCTCAATACTTCCCTAGAGAAACCTGATGGATATACTCTAAGCCTTGGCTTGGACACAAAGATTAAGTGTTCTAAGTCTTAAGTTTTTCCCTAATTCTCCACCCCACAAGAATGTTGGTGTCTCCAGACTATCACTTCAGTTAGGCTAGGTCACAGGACAAAAGCATCTCCTTTCTTGAAATAATTATGCCCCCAGAGCTACAAGAAATCATTAATAACATTGGCTGTGCACTGCCTTATTTCCACACTGGTATAGCCACGGCTGGATGTGCTTTCTATGCATACTCCTGAATCTTGACCACTCTGTTTTGGAATGCCACCTATTGGTGACAGCACATGTAATTTTTCTGTCACAAGCATAAGAAGGCTCAAGATATACAGTGAGTTTGAATTTTTTTGAAGTAAATGCAGAACATGACCCATTATAGATCAACCTTTTTAGACTACCTACGCTTAATTAAAACTTTGGCTAGAAAAGCAGATGAGGTTTGTCACAAAGAGTTCTACTGTGATAAAACTTTCAAATGTCTCCAAAAAGGTTCTGTGAAAGAAAACGACGGGTACAAAGGGAAGCAGAAGAAACATCTCTTTTAATTTACGGTGAAAAATACTTTGCACTGAAATGACAAACCAAAAACATTTGGGGCAGCACCTCAGAAATTAATTGGGCATTTTTCTCCTACATTGTAATTGCCACATTCACCAGTTATAATAACCCAGAATAAATATTAGCAATCAAAAAGAGAAAAATTTAAAGCTTTCAAGAACTGCCTTGTGGGAAGCAGTAACAATTATTAAACTACAAATGTCTGGTGGCACTGCAATTCTAAACTACCTCTTTAAATGAAACCCCAAATACAAAGCTAGAACCTATTTAATTTGACTAGTGCCCATAAGGGCAGAGAACCACTAAGTTTATATTGCTTGCATTAGCTTTCATTGGGCAATTTCCTTTCAAGAGGAACCTTGGTTATATTGACCTACCAGGTATTGGTCCACCTGCTTTGAAAAGTGCACCCTATGACTGGTATAAACCTAAAAGCTCTCTAGGTATCTAATTTTCTTCCTTTTTTTCCCATTCCAGGACACTTTCTGAGACACACAAGACCATGCAGGCTACATCATTAGTCTATTATTTCCTGCTTATCTCTCTGTGCATTCATTTTTCTCAAAATGAAACTAGTGCCCTTCCCAGGAGGCAAAGGAGAAGAATACGCTACAGAGCATTGGGAAGGAGGTTCTCAGCAGGGAACAGGGCCCCACGACAGCTGAGGATGACGCCTCCAGCTCCTGCTGCTGTAGTACCCAGCATACCTCTTATTAACATCGATGACAGTGTTATGGGAGTATTTGACTCTCTCATAGGTTTGGGTGGACATGAATCTAGTTACAGCATCTTGCCAGGTAAGAGTAATTCCCCTCTACTGCTTAGAGTGGGCCAAATTTTATCTTGATTTCAAACAAAATGCATAAACTTATGAAAGCTTATTTTAGCTCTATTTGCAACACATACCAAAATAAAACAGTTGTTTTTTTGCTAACCTGCTTTTGTTTCCTTTTATAATAATATTGTGGTCAGTATATAAAGCTTTTTAGTTGTCTGTGCTAAAGCCTTACAGAGAATCCTGCTTTGCCAGGGAACAGTAATGTTTCCTTCAATTTTTCTGCATTTTCTTCTCATCTTAACTAATGAAAATTTTCTTGGACTATGTCCGTAACTTCAAATGTGTAGCAACTTTGAAAGTCAGTTTGAAGAATTTCTTGCTCGATATATCTCTTAAGTCAATCAACTTTTCACTGAGGCCCTAACACCAATAACAACATTGTGTGAAATGGATTTAAGCTTTTTTTGGTTTTGTGTTTTTGTAAAGCAGCATTCAAGCTATTTCTACATGCAGTATTTTAGGAATAATTCTCTGTTTTATAAACAAACTAGCAGCACAATAAGAAACTCACAAATAAGACATTTATGATGCAAAGGGAGCATCATAAGCAAAGGGAGAGAAACCCCAGTGGATTTATTTAAAAGAAGTCCAATAGTGGGATTTATATAAAACTCACCTTTTCAGTGATCTGCAGGTTTTGACATTGTTGCACTACTTTGTATTTTATGGTTTTTTTTTAAGGGGGTGTGTGGATGACGATTTGATGTCTTAAGGACCAAACAAACAAAAAGCGTCGTTTCATTGATCTTTGCTGAAACCAGCCTTGATAATGGTAACAGGCCTTTCTAAGCCTCCTCAAAGACTGCAACTAGACAGGGATTGAGAACTAAGAGTCATTCGGTGCCTCCTTGGTCCTTAGGGCGGTAAAGGAAAAGAGAACTCTTGCTCGAGGACGCTTGTGATTTTATGTTCAACATCACAAGCGGGAAACGATGATTCACAAACTAGGAAATTAAGATTCACAAGAGTCTAAAATTCAAATATTCTTTCTGAAGAACTTCTGAATACTATTATCAGTGTTTTTGAACTTTGACACCCTGGTTATTAACCAACTAGAAATTAGAACACATCATTTCTTTTCAATAGAAGGAAGTTCAAAGAAAAGACACTGGGAGGAACCAGACCAGGATGTGTCCTCTCTATAGCTAATAAAGATGAAGATAGTTCCTTTCCAGCACCAAGAGATCACACACTGAGTAAACCATCATATGCAATTTTATTAATTGTATTAAAAAAGAAAAAGAATCCCCTGATTACCACTGCTCTACATAAAACGATAATAAACTATTTTTATAAGCAAAAAGTTAAGTCTTTTAGTATGTCACACAAGTGACATGACCATGAGGTTAATAGGTCTCAACTTAAATGGCAAAACATATTTTAGTTACATTCTCCTAACAATTGCTCTTTGTTGTGAGTCCTTACTTTCAGAAAGGCTGAACCATTTCAGATCAAATATTTCTAAGCAAGGACATTTTTTGAAAGCTAGCAAAACTCTTGACTATAGCACTTCTAGTGTGTACTGCAGTATTACTCTTATAATACATACCACTAACGTCAAACCTTTAATTTAAAAATATTTTTCAAATGAAACAGAGGAAAATATCACATAAGTAACATCCACTTCATGTAAGATATTCCAGGCCCTCTGTCGGAGACCATCAGTCATGCTGAAATCATGCATGGCTCTTCCCCTTTCCCCACCCCGTTTGTTTCTTTCTATCCGGACTTGCATCCAAAAGCTGAGCTAAAACCACTGAACTCATTTTATTTGGAACTTCATGCTGAATTTACACCATATTTCCAAAGGTTAAAAGTCCTGTGCTCATTTGCCAAAGACTTCAACCACAAGGTATTTTTTTAGTCTAGCTTTTAAAGTTCAAAATTTTTCCAAGTTAATGTCAGATTTGGAAAAAACAGAGCCTATTAAATAATAGAACATTATTATTAATCATGCTTCACAACAGAAGAAAAAGCAATCCAAAACTTCATTTTCATTCTCCTAGCTACTTATTTTGCTCTTAGTAGCCTAAAAAATAATTTACAGATATCATATGCAGGATGAAAATTAACATAGTTAAATAGAGGTTTAAGAATAACCAGACATATCTCCTTTCTCCATACAAAACCCACAGGATCAATTTAAAACAAATCAAACAGATCACCACAACATAAGATCATTGGCAGTTGCTTGTCCTTTGCAGAGTACAGCTGCCCATGAAGCAATGCAGAACTGGATGTACACTGTTGCAGTATTTCTGATATCTCTTAAACTTCACCTCTCCCTGCTCCTACCACCATGCTGAAGCTACTCAGAGGAAGTAGCTGGAGAGGAAGCTTTAAGAGTCATCTCAGCCTCAGAGAGGTTAAGTGAGTTCTAAGTTGCAGAACAACAGTTCTGCAACACAATAAAGGGCACCTCTTTGCCTGCGAGCACACACGCTTGTCCTATCTTTTTAAGTAGCTCTCATGTACACAGAAAACAAAATCTATCATTAAAGAAGTTTGCAGAGGCCAGGGCCTGATAACCCATATCTTTATGCTTATTCAGACAAGATCTGCACCAACTTCAGATACTAGTAGCTAAAAAAAAATAAAGAATTTAAGGAAGCACAGAAGAATTTCCATCTCAAGCCAGATATGTTCCTCTGGAGCCGCTGACATTTTATTGTTTAACATGAGAAAGTGTAGTGTTCTTTTTGTGTTTCCTTTGGAGATTATTTAAAAGAAATATCGTGGCTTCCTGGCAAGCACATAAAACCCAGAAGTAAGAATCCAGCGAACAGCTGGATTACAGATACCTGGGTAGAATGACAAGGGACTTAGAGCCAAATAACATTTGGCCTGGGCTCACCCACCCACCTCCTCCTTCAGTTAACATGGCTTGAGTGGAGCAGAGCACAATTTTGTGCAGCTGAAACGATGCATATGTACCCCTGACTCTTGAAAAAACAAAATGCAACTGTTCAAAAAATTAATTTCTCCCCCCTTCCATCCTGGGAGTAACTTAAATAAAAAGAACATTTTAAAATATAAAGGGTATAGGGGAGCATCCAAACAGGATGATTCTGGCAATTAGTTTTTATTCTAGAAAATGGGTTTGTATCCAATAGTCTTTAAAATGAAGGGCAAAGGAATACCTTTATTACAAAGTTAAGAGCAAGACTGCTGTGAAGGACTTGGCAAAATGCCTGAGTCAAATATTAATTCCAGAGACATTTCAAACCAAATATTTACAATATTCTTGTCAGGATGTTTAGAGACTATCCTGAATATTCTTCCCTTTAAAACTGAACAACCAAGCACTGACCAGGGTGGAGTGTGGGAAAACAAACCCTGCAAACAAAGCCTCCAAAGACAATTTGTCTATTGCAAATGAAAGTCTCTTGCACGGAAATTCAGTTGATAAGATTTTTCCACTGTGTTAGACTATCTTCATCTGAAGGAGGAACTCAAAACCAATTAGGAAAAGAGGAATTTTTATTTTTTTTTTTAAAATTTATACACAGGAAAGTACAAAGTAATTTAGAAATAGCTTTTCAGCTTGAAATGAACATTTCAACAATGCATTCTTACATTAATTAGAAAGAGGAAAAGGAAGGTGTGTAGGGGGTAGAGATTCTCACCCGATTCAGAGGTACGCTCGAAAATAGACAAAGATTTGCCTGGGATGAAGAATTTCAATCTTGGCTTTCCTTCTTTCAAAAGAGTGAGTGAAAAAAAAAAAAAAAAAAAAAAGGAAAAAAGCATCATCCTGGAGTCTGGATGAGATCTGCCCAGGAAAACTTTTGCTGAGGTAGGTTCCATCACAGGAAGGACAGAGACACTTGGAATAGTTGCCTTCCCAAATTTTTACAGTCTCCAAACAACTTGTCTACTGAATATCTCAGTATAGCTTACAAAATAAATCTCTTCTATATTTCTTCCTGAAAATTTCAATTGATACCCTGGGGAAATGGATGGTTTTTGTAGATTCATGTCTGGAAACTTCAGAAACGAAGTATTTGTTAGCACAAGTTGTTCAAGCTTACTACTTTTCTAGCAAAGAGGTTTTCTTCAGATCAAGTGATTTACAGAGAAGAGTAGATGTTTGCCATCTTAGCAGTCATTAAAGAATGGTATTTATTTCCATTAAGCCTATGAACAGTCACTATAAAGAGAATATTGTTACCCTTCTGCTTCCACAGAGCCTTAACAATACCTTCTAATTTAACATGATATTAGAAAAGATGTCTAATTCACAAGAGAGAAACAGAAAGGGATCTGGGAAAAAAAAATTCTCAAGTTCTTAATGATTTATTTTAAATCCATTGTGATGAAGACAACTTCTGCTTCTTTCTCAACTGTATCTAGCCATAGCTGTAAGGAGGTACCAGCCACATACACATTAACTGTGAGTCTCCCCCTTTACAGGCACCACAGCTGAGAGGCCAAGAACCAAGCAGGGACTGGAGACTACTAATAAACTGAAAAAAATATAGCTACAAAAAATAAGGATTAAGAGAAGATACCTAGAATAAGGTGTATTTTATATATTTTCAAAATGAGAACAAAATAGTAGCGCTTCTGTCCAAAGTTTTAAATAAGCACTGTTGGTTTTATTTCACTTTAAGCTATTTAACTCTTATTTAAGCTATTTAATTTTCTATTTTCCTCTTTTCTTAGGAAAGAAGGGGCACTGCACAGCTAATGGGATGATTATGTATGATAAAGCTGTCTGGTCTCCCAAGCCCTGCATTACTTGTCTCTGTTCAAAAGGAGAAGTGATATGTGATACAACCATGTGCCACACTCTGAAATGTTCCCAAACTGTTATACCTGCAGGAGAATGCTGCCCAGTTTGCTCTGATACTGGTACAGTAACCATAATATTTTTACTATTTTAGAACCACCTCATGCAAAACCTAACATAAAAGCTGCATATGTTTCTGTAGAGAAAGCATGTCTCGAATTGCATGATAGGAGCAGGTCTTAATAATTTTTACTCAAGCTGACTTCAGTTGCTTAGTGTACATTGGCTGCTGGATGAGTTTGATATAATATTTAAAGATGTTAAGTATGCAATAGTAAAGATTTTCCCCCCTGCTCCTCTTTCTGCTTCTTCCCTCCTACCTTTACAAAATGTTGGTAAATATTTGGTTACAAATATCTGGTTACATTTTATAACTCACTTCCATTTACAAAAGATCAATCAATAACTAGTAGCCATTATTAATGTATTAGACCTACCTAATAAATGTCATACAGTTCACATACTGGTAAATCTTTGTGTGTAAAAACATGCAGCTACTTGATATAAATCAAGAGAAGAAAGTCAGTTCACAAGAGGAACAAAGGAACTATAATCATGCTGCTGCTTCACAAAAATTTAAACAAAATTGCTATCTTTAAAAGAAAAGGAATGGGGGAGCTAAAGAAATGTGATTTCCTTCCCTCATTCCCAACACCCTGTCTACAAAGTACCTCATCTATCATAAAGCTATTATTTAGCCTCGTCTGTGCGTGAAGATACGACACACAGACATGCACTGAGTAGACACATCATAGAAATTAGCTGCAGAACTAGAAGTCACGTTGACTGAAACAACTAAATTCCTTTTATTTGAACTGCCCTGCTATGTCAGTAAAAACTTTGGTAATGGAGTTAACACATTTCCTTGGTGAGCTCCTCACTCACAGCCTTCTCTACACCTCACATTCCCTTGCACAGGAGAACAAGTCTTAACCTTTGTGAGTTTTACTCAAATTATCTTCCCTCTCACTTCCAGACAAATTTTTTTTTCCTCTTAAGATCATAGAATCATAGAATCA